ACTTACTTCCTGCAGGTTGTCCTCCAAAACCACAAGTTTTAACGGCAAAGCTCAACACAGTGCTATACATCAGCAAAATGAATATAGCACAATGTTGGGGTATTCCCCACCGCCAATTTTCTTTGACTCTTCTCGAAATTATTTTGATAAAGTGTTGATATTAGATTTTGACTCTTGGCTGATGCTCTTCGTGGAATTGCCGAATAAGACAAAGTCAGCTTGCTGCAGAGGGCTCATGTGCGTGAGAATATTAGGGTCACTTAGAAATACTGGCCGACATCAAATAAACTTAAATATATGTTGATGGATCCAGGTGCATTTAATTGTTGATCAAAATGGAACAAAATATTTTGAATTAATTTTGGCACTTGCGATACCTACTACCACATTTTATCATTTAAAATTCTTGCAGTTCGCACCATCCAATTCAGCCTGAACTTTAGTAAATTGACTTTTTAAATCATAAATACTTTAAGTATTTCTTCGGGTTCAGTGAGGAGACCAAGTGTCAAACAATAGAATCGATGGGGCTGAACAAATTTTCAATGAGCGTCCTAGTTAACTTTAATCTAGTTAGTTCCAGTACACACTTCCTAAAAGCCTCTAAAGCAGACAATAAAAACACACACTAGATAATTTGTACAGTGCAATTTGCGTGATCTCTTTTGCAGTGACTCGTTATAAGTTTGTTTGTTTTGAAGGAGCGAATTCTTCGTGGACGTCCATATACGGTTATCAGAACAATCGGAACTCGAGTGTCATAACACGTCATTCTGGCTATTTCATGGAGGTGGTTTTAGCGTCAGTGTTCTGGACGTGAGCTTCCGCGGTATCAGAGTGAGCCTCATCCCAGTGTTAACTGGAAAAGGCGTTGAGGTTTTTAAGGTGAGTCAGTCCGTTAATCACGAAGTGTAACATTGAAATTTATCGAATCCTGCAAATATTGTAGCCTACAGTTAAAAATGGTGTTGAGCATTTCGACTGCACATAAAGGCTGCTGATTTCATCTCAAATGTTTTTCGTGCAAAAGAAGAGGCTTCTGATTATGTAAGAAGAGTTGGTGCGCTCAAAGATTGTGCAAAATTATGAGCGAATCGACATGTACTGAGCTTGTTTGCTGGGTTTAAACGTGATGGTACTTATCGATTCAGGCATAAAAGATATTCTAGCCAAAGATATTACTTTCACCTCTTCTTGTTCCGGCGGAACATGTCTGGCCACTTTCAGCAGCTTGTAAATGTTAGTGAGGAAGCGCATTTACACGTCGTGATTATGTATCAGGTGATTATCTATTGCTACATTTTGTGTTATTAGAAATTATAATGTAGATCTGACCCGGACTCTCAGTTTTCTTTGTATTGTTTACTGCAGGGAGGCATTTACTTCGGTGTAAGTGGAGTCATTAGACTAGTTCTCAGAACACTGTCTAACGTGAAGCTTGACAAAAGCGTCAACGTCGACTTGGGTGCCATCTTACGGTGTCACGCGCACAAACGACAGCTGAATAACCGTGACCCCATATACAATCCACCAATCTACTTCAGCCAGACGTTGCGACTCGTTGCCGCGGCAGATGGTATGTTTCAGCGCATTAGGAAACGTGAACTCTTTTTGACCTATTTTGCTCGTACTAAAGTTAAGCTCTCTGGGACTCAAGCACCGACTGCTCTTTGGTGGTCAGTAATCACCTAAGATTCTGATTGGCTGACTTTAAAATTGTTCGGGGCAGCCTGCGAAATCGATTTTTGTATAAAATGATCGTCGTGAGTTCAATTAATATCCATGAATTGCGGTGTGTTGGCGTGAGTACTTGTACGGTCTCTATTTTCACCAGCTGCTTTTAATATCATTGGGGACAGACTTTCTGGATTGGCCCTAGCAGATAGATGCTTGACAATAATTTTGCTCACTCTTGGGTATATTTTTCACAAACCGGTAAATTGGTCATTTTTTAAATACAATTTAAAAGAATTCTGATTGGCAATGTCCGTAAGCGTAAGACCTGTTCGATTCACTGACGCCTTTCAGAAGGAAGAAATATCAATAATGGGATTCGCAGTCCTCCATAAAAGTAACCGAGCGGGAATTAATTTTACAGAACATTAAAGAGGTTATATTACCGTATTTGAGACAAAAAAGCTACTTGGTTACATTGCAACAGAGAACAACTGGCTACCATCCTAGTCAGTCACTGCATTCGCGTCGTAACGTTAAAACGAGCAATCTACTGCAGTGTGATATGCCAATAAATACTCGACAAGTCAACCGTTTATTCGATGAATGTACCAAGTAGTCGTGGGGTGTGTGGCGTGTGTATTGACAGGTCAGATGTGTGAAACAACGTGAGTCATAAATGGGCGAACGTCGAGACTTTGGTGTTGTTATAATCGATGAGACTCGTTCACGCTAATGAGGGGGGAGTTGAGGTCCCGCGAGGCTGGCGACATGCTGTGAAAAGGGGGACATTGTGTCGGAGGCCGGAGTGACCGGATTACCGACTGTGAATCAATGCCATCGACAGCAAATCTGTCAGGTTGACTATCAAAATTTCCCCACTTCACCGAGGGAAACATGGGGATCAAACTTTAGAATATCACTCAAGAATTTGGCAACAAGTAGTATTAAATATCCTCTTGCTTTGTTTTTTAAAAAAAAGCTTTAGTGATGAGCAGGTAGACCTTCCATGACACACCACCGTAGTTTCGTTGGTGACTAGCGTTGCAAACATGTCCTCATGCCCGCACTTGTAGATTTGATTTGCAATAGAAAAATATGGCGATTTGTTTAGGCTAGGATAAAGAGTCTGTCATACTGTTCCGAACAATATCAGAAATCCAGACGCACCATTATGTAACGCAAGGGGTTCTATTACTTTGACTGGCCATTGGGAACTATATGCCGAAGATGCAGTCCAGCAGTGCCGATCTTGAGACTAAGCATGTTAAAACGTGCAAGTGTCCCAGGAAAATCATCAAATGCATTAAATGAAATTTCCTGCTGCTTGCGTGTAAGAAATTTCTACTGACTACATAACGATGTGGTTGGGGCAATAAAAAATGAGGTATGAGAGAGAGTTACATCCGTTTACTCGATGTCTCAACCCAGGTCGCGCACTTAAATTTGTACACGACTGATGTAGATATTGAGCAATGCATCTAATGTGAACTTAAGAAAGTGCACATGACTGAATGTCCAGTGTGGGGAGATGCAAACACTGAGTGTGTGAACAGACGGTCCCGCATGGGTGGCGGGCACGCTGTGAAAAGGCTGGCAGTTTGTCGGAGAATGTGATGAAGAAGTTAATGGACGTGAATTAACCCAATTCACTACAATGTCTCAAAGGTCAATCCACATAAATGTGCCAGCAAAACCTCTTCATGTTAACCGTGAAGGGGGCTGTAGCTTAGTTGCAATAGGCTTAGTAAAAGCGAGTTTACTTTTGAACATGGGACGTCCCAATATGCTTTCCACTGCGGAAAATAAACAGTATGGATAAATTTAGCTTCTATCTTTCGCATGTGCAAAGCAATCAAAACCACTAATGCTTAAGTCTTGGCACACGCTGTAAATTTGCGTGCCATTGCTTCTGAAACAGCACTCATTACTTCGCACGATTATCCATTTCTCGTTGGTGGCTTTCATTTTGGCAAATAAGTTCTATCACAAGACAAAACACGTGATGTCTGGATTTCTCTAATTTAGGAGAATTTTTTGCTTTGTAGAACAGCTCAGCTACTTGAGGCTCAAGCCCTGTCAAGTGAGGGTGTTTGGTGTGCACGGGGATTTCGAGGACATCCTCCTCCATTCTGAACCCACCAGGTTCTGGACGACACATGCCAGAGACGGTTATTACAACGCCTTTCGTAGCGTGACCGTTCACTTCGGTCGAGTGGCACACATCAGGAAGATTGCCCTGAAACTCAAGGAGAATGCACAGAATAAGCCCCGATCGTTGGTTCTTGATGGAACGCGGGACGGAAAATCATTTTACACCTTCCGTAAGGTGGGTCTTAGCATACAGTGACGCCTGCCTCTAACTGAATGTAAACACCACCACTTGAGTTCTATTGATACAGTTTCTGGTTCCAATGCTTATCTAGATGCGTACGATGCGTGGTCATTGTTCCATGTCCAGCTGGACATCGAGCGTCGTTTAATCAAGTGCATTGTAGACTGTTTTCTGTATAAAAATTTTACGTCGTGATTTCAGGTGGGCGTGGCGTTTCATTCGAACTCGCTGGAAACGAATGTCACCCTCACGAACCTGCCGGGCGTGCGTGGTCTTCGAATAACTCTCTCAGACCTCCTAGATGACAAGGAGGCTGTGCACATCAAGATGAGATTTTACGGCTGGATGGAATTGAGAACACGATATGATTATGGTGGGTTGTTTAATTTTTCTGTGTTTTTTTAATTTTGTCGCACAACTCATGGTGAGCCTTTTTAGCTTCAAAGTTCAAAACGTGTTGAAACATGATGTGCTTTCAAATGAAATTATCTAATTTTGCATAACAACTGGTCTTAGATTTGCAAGCTTTTTTTGGATGACCAAAAATAACGTATTGAAACCGTGTTTTTACATCTCGACATGTTTGAGTTGCTTGACATAAAAGTGAACCAAAGTCAGACCATCACGTTTGGGTCGCAACGCAAAACAATGACGTGGTCCCTCATGTAAAAAACAAACGCAATTTTCTTTGGTTAAATAACCAGTGCTGTTAAAATGAGTGTTTACTGAACTGTTAAGGTCCATGCAAAGTGCAGAAATTTGGCTGCACGGACGGACAGTGTGCAGCATCAGTCGCTCTTCGAAGCTATGTTGTCGGACGTGACTTCATAGTCTATTGTGATCAAGTCCCTGGTTTGGCCCTGACCTACCGAATTCGTTCGATCTGCTTCCGCGCCTTCGACATCGCACCAACCACCTGGAGAGGTTAGTCCTGTTTCAATACCGCGGTTTGACAGTGGTCTGACACCAGCAGTTGTCAAAGCAGTGGATTAATTGTGGAACTGGTTTAGCGTGGAGAGAGAGCATTTGCGATCAAGCCATTTCGTCATTGCGCGTTACCGTCGGGCACGATATCTTGGTGTACTTGCGGTGCTTTGGCACTAATCAGATGACTCCGTCGTGCTTCATCACCACCAGTTTTGTAGGCTTAAGCGGTAACTCTCAACTGCACGCAGCAAGATTTGTTCATGTGCCAAGGATCAAATTAAAAATTATTGGAAATAGTCACGGCAGCATTATTAAGAACAACGAGTATGCGTGTGTGTCACCGTATCTTTTGTATTACAAAATACAGTAAAATGTGTTTACTCGCTGATCTTTTTGATTTTGGAGTTCTCTATGCACCCTCGAAAGCCCACTCTTTTCGTCAAGATTTGACAATGCGTTTTGTGCCTCCTCAAAAGTGACATTTTATCCGGTATTTTGTGACCTTGAATAAAATTTGCCTTGATTGGTAGATTGATTCTTTCCAAAGGTGTTTTATACTTTTATTGAATTAGTGGTCGTCCGATTTGCAGGGATGTACTTTGAAAGCTTCAAATCGGCAGTTCTGTAGTAGTGCGTGGATCTGGTTGCCGTCAATCTCGTGGATTGGTGAGCAGGTGGTGAATGAGTCATGAGCAAATTGTATGTGGAACACAGCACACGTACTTTCAAACTATCAGCCAATCTAACGCTTATGCGGTAATATATTCAAGAGAGAAGAGAACTTTGATTATTAGTTGTGAAAAGTAATTAAATGGTCACCTGAACTGGATCTGGTAATTCACCATGATATTCAACAACCCCAATTTAAATTGCAATTTATTAGTAAGTAGAATAAATACCTTTTCTTCAGATTTGGATGGTCGCATAGCACACGTGGTATCGTACATTCCGAAGGACAATGTTCTGCTGGCCACATCATGCTGTGAGAAAGAGTACTTCATGAGCAACGATTCCGGCGATTCGTGGGTTTCAATCAACCGACGACACTTCCTGTACTGGAAGTTCCACCATGAGACTCGCCCCATGGTGTCCATCCCACGGACAGTTGTACCTCCAGATTTTCAACCGTCTTCAACTGGTTCAAGTTGTACGGCCTTCCAGGTTCGACAGTGGCACTGTGAGTTCGCACTAAAATGAATCTACTCCTTGTCGGCTTCATGGATAGCGCTAAGTGGTTCAGTTGCCTTACCCTAATAGGTCTCGAATAAAGGCATCGACTGGTTACATTGAATTTGTGTAGAATCTACTCGTTCCCATGGGTTAATTATCAGGACTAAATTTAGCCTAGCTGGTAGACGACGAATATAGTAGAATCCGCAATGTAATGGTTAGGTCAAAATAAGTTAAAAGCTCATAATGATTTGTCCTCGGAATGGAGTTCCCGGTTATTTATTTTCTAAATGAAACGAAATAGACGACATTAAATCTACAATATCGAGTCCTAGAATGTAATGATAGGACTAAATGTAAAGGGTAAGTTGTAATGGCATTCACGAGTCAAGGGACGGTCGACAATGAAGTTGAAAACATTAGATTTATGGGTGAAACGAGCCACGTTGTGTTTGCAATGAATTTAGGATTCGTTGTTTTACGAGAAAACCTATAATTGACACACATTGTAATGCCTAAGGACAGTTCGGCAATATTTCTTATCATTTACTTGGTTATTTTGGACTGCATTTTCACAAAAGTGTTTTTTTAACTATTAAAAGAGCATACGTTAGCATTCGAATGGTTAGATGCATCATCACAAGAAATCCCACTTTAGCGGTTTTCTTACTATTGACTATACACTAGGTAATTCGATGTTGCTGTGGCATTTCAGTAATTGTGACGGCTCTTAAGGTTCTTTCAAATGTTCTGGACCTTCACCTGCATCTATTTTTCTCTTAGTCTGCTACGACGGCGTCTACCATGGGAACAGACGCGTAGTTAACTGGAACAATTGTTGCAGCGTGCGATCATAGGATTAGACATTCTGTTTTTTGGTGATGAAAGGAGGCACGCCATGCTTGCAGACTCCACCACTTTTGTGTTGAGGTGTCAAACAACACTTCTATTAATGAATTTGCTTTTGTTGTTTTTGCTAGTTCAGGAAGGAGCATTCGTCTAGTCCAGCTGCATGCGTTTATTTTGTTTTTCATGATGATAATATTGAATGTGTTTAAAAACTGAAAGATTTGTGTCATTTTTATCCTGCAGCAGACTCAAAATAAACTAAGAATGACGGGGTGAAGTCGAGCAAAAAGTTGCACTAATCATGCTGTCCGTGGAATTTGTGACGCCAGGCAAAGTTGTGTATCAGCTTAAAGATTTATTACCCTAAGCGTAGAAGCGTATCCAACTTTCGAGGCTTGAATCAAATGGGCTTTAGCAAACCCAGCCGCAAGTTAAGTGCTGAATGGCTCTCAATCGAAGCTAGATCGAAAACGTGGTTCGGAGGAGTAAGTTGACTAACATTGTGCGTAATCCTCTAGGCAAACACTCTTTAATAATGTGCATTCTCATTATCTTAAAAGCTCAGTAAAACTTGATTATGATTTTATCTGGTGTCCCAGAAATTCGATAGATGCATACTTTGAGGTGACAAAGCAGGTGTTTGGTCTGAATTTCGGAATATCGTTGATTCCTGTCCTACTCAAGTAGGAACACATACGTGGTAGTGGCAAAGCAACGATGATAGATGAGTGACTTTGAGTGTAATCAAACGATTATCAGTCCAAAAAAGCCTGCAAAATAATGTGCAACACTTCTATGGTTAAAAGTTGCTAATTGTATGAAGATCAGTGTT